GAGAGTGTGAGAATATATATATATATATATATATATATATATATATATATATATATATACCATTTAATTTCCAACATTCACAATTCAAGATGTAGATGAACTATGACCTGAAGAAACTAGTGAGATTTCTTGTGACATGTTAACAGGCTGAACTGCTTTCTTCTGCTGGTTTTCAGTAATTTGGTATATTCAGTTTTGCATTTGAAACCCAAGCCATGCTGCTTGAACCACTTTTTGTAAATGTTTATCTACTCTAAGTACAGCCAAATACACTTTACATTATGGTTAAGATTGGTTATAATGTGTTGCAAAAGCAGTGTTTTTATTTGACGCTTATCATTTGTACCAGTAAGACACACTTTGTCTTTTTTGTCTTCAATACAATCTTCCTTTTTGCTTGATCAATTATATAGCTTGAGAAATATGAAACGAGTGACAATATATATATATATATATATATATATATATATATATATATGTATATTTTTGGTTAGATTTCCTCCTCGGTTAATCAGCTGATCAGCCACTCCTAGCATGAGTAATGGTCAACGTTACAGTGCACATGACTGGTTTTATTAGGATCAAAGTCTTTAACAATGATTTCCTCACTGTTTCATGCAACAGAACAACTCTTCTTCCTTCTTCTGCGGTCATATACAAATTAGGCCATGAATGTCATGAAAATTAGTGAAATACTTTAATGGGGGAAATTCGCTTATTTCCACTAAAAGAATTATTCATAGAGCCCAGAAAATAAAAATAAAAATCATTTGATCGTTGAAATGTAATTATACATGGTTCAAATTTACACACCCTGTAGGTTCTCATTATCAAAACTTTTTTCAGGCAAAATGACATTTTTATTCATTCAAGTGCAAATAAAATGATTTTATATATATATATGTATATGTGTGTGTGTGTGTGTGTGTGTGTGTATGTATGAGGTGGACAAAGTACACAACTCCATTACTTGAGTGAAAGTATAGATACAGCTGCTCAAATATTACTCCATTATAAGTAAAAGTTGCAAAGACAGATTTTTACTTAAGTAAAAATACAGAAGTACTTGCTTTTAAAAATACTTAAGTACTAAAAGTACTTTTTTTTATTATTTTATTATTTTTGAATGTAATACTTGCAATACCTTATGCCTCTGAAGCAGCTTACAATACATTATGCCTACTGAATACACTGACTAGCTTGTAGAATCTTTGGAATGAAGAGCTTTTAGAATGTTAAAAGCCTATAGAAACGAAACACACGCGTTGGCCAAAAAAAAATAAATTTAACACCTCTGGCAGTGTTCATTCACATTTGAACCAAGTGGACAGTGAAATTGCTGTAAATACAGACTGATAAGAAAAAAAAATCAAACCTGATTTAAAACCCAACAACACAACTGTAGCTGTGTAACTTTACCGCAGCAACACTGCTTTAACAAAACAGCAAGTTTTTTTTTTTTTTGACTTAAAAACAAAAACTTCAAAAATGCTCTCTAATCGCTTTCACGATACTTTGATGTCATACACAGAACGGTCAAACACCTATTGTTTTTGTTAGAAGATGTACAACAGTTCTTCTGTCGCTTTATAGGTAATATTTTCATTTACACAATTTTGCAAAATCAGACAATATTGCGTCTAGTATATACCACAATATTAACTTCTTATTATTGAATTGCTGTAAATAAATATTACATTTGCAGCTGGTCAGTGTCCAAAAAATGCTGGGAAATCTCTTCACGTAGCTCTACCAGAGTGATTACTTATAGGTTGTCTAAAAAAATTAAAAAAGTAATGTTGCAAAAAAAAGTCACCCACTAACTTTCAAAGCTGCTACATAATAATGACTTTATACTTTGAGGACCTTGATAGAAATGTACTGGAGTGAAAAGTGCAATATTTGTCTTTCAAATGTAGTGAAGTTAAAGTCACAAGCTTCCAGAAAAAATAATACTCAAATAAAGTACAAATACTTAAAATGTGTACTTAAGTAATCAAGTAAATTTACTTTGTTACCGTCCATCATGTGTGTGTGTGTGAGTGTGTGTGTATTAATACTTTTATAGTTATTTAGAATTAAAAATGCATTAAATTGATTAAAAGTGGCAGTGAAGACATAGGCTAATGTTAAAAAGATTTCTATTTAAATAAATGCTGTTCTTTTATATTCAACTTTATATTCATCAAAGAATCCTGAACAAAATGTATTATGATTTCCACTAAAATTTTAAGCAGCAGTTTTCAGCATTGCTAATAATACGTTTTTTTTTTTAAAAAGCATATTAGAAGGATTTCTAAAAGATCATATGACACTGAAGACTGGAATAGAATTTCATCTTTGTAGTCACAGGAATAAGTTACATTTTAAAATACAGTAAAATACAAAACATAAAATATTTACTTTAAAAGGTAATACTATTTCAAAATTTTACAGTTTGTACTGTTTTTTTTGGTCCTATAAATCCATCCTTTGTAAGCATAAGAGACTTCCAAAATAAAAAATAAATGCCCCCAAATTATCTTTTTCAGTGCAATATATATTAAATTGTATAATGTTTTGCAGATTCTTATGTGAACTATGGCAATTAAACAATACATGCTTGAACTGGTGATATAATTGCTCTTTCTCTTACTCCCTCCACATTACAGGCCTCGTGTTTGTGTGGCTCCGCTCCATGTCTCCTCTGTGGCTGTTGTCCTTCTTCCAATAACTCCACCGTCACCCGGCTGGTCTTCTCTTTCTTCCTCCTCCTGGGGACACTGGTGTCTGTAATCATGATCTTGCCTGGCATGGAGACGCAGCTCCGCAAGGTGGGCCCACCATCAGTCTTTATCTGCCTCACTTGTGCTTTCAGTGCATTGTGTTGATTTTCTGTTTTTAATGTCTCTTCAGATTCCTGGCTTTTGTCAAGGAGGTACCACAATACCAGGAATCGAGAACCATGTTAACTGCGACGTGATTGTAGGCTACAAATCAGTGTACCGCATGTGCTTTGCTATGGCATGCTTCTTTTTCCTGTTTTCTGCAATCATGATTCGTGTAAAGAGCAGCAAAGACCCTCGTGCCACTATTCAGAATGGGTAACCCTGATTTATTATTTATGTACCATTATATTATTATGCTATTGTTATTGTATCATTTACTAAATTAAATTAAATTTGCTTGATTTTATCATTGACTGTTTTGTCAGGTTCTGGTTCTTCAAGTTTCTGATACTTGTTGGCATCACCGTCGGAGCCTTTTTCATCCCGGATGGAACATTTCATGATGGTACATTTTAGGTTCAACTATTCCGTTATCAGCACATAATAGAACAATTTCCATTTTCATATATGCACATTGGGAAATACATAAAAGCAATGACAACATGGCAATGATGTTAAGCTCTAAATGCAGCAATAGTCATGATAATGTTATTCTGGGAAGCCATTGTCATAACGCAGGGCTAAATTTCAAGGGATGCAGAAAACGCCTGGTCTCCTGCAGTGAAGAAGGCAATTATTTTTTAATGACTATTTTGAATGTTATGAGATGCATGGGAAAAGACCGTATTGAAAGTGGAATCGGATGTTATTATTTTTTCATGGCATATTACATTAGCAGTGAGAACGCGTTGTTACTGTCTTGCCAGAATTCTCATGGTGTGGAATTAAAGATGCAGAACATTGTGTTCTGAGATCACGGGTATTAGTATGTTTCATTGTGAATTTAAGTATGAAAATACGGGCCCTTCAGAGATGCATGTTTTATTAAACCTAGTTATAAATATAGTTTAAAGTGTTCACCCAAAAAGTAAAAATCTGTCATCATTTTCTCCCCCTCATGTCTTTCCAAACCACTATGACTTTCCTTTTTCTGTGGAACACAAAAGAAGATATTTTGAGAAATGTCCCATTGTTGTTTTTTTCTGTCTGTACAGTAAAAGTCAGTTGTCACCGGAAGTGTTTGGTTAACAGCATTTTTTTTTTAATATCTTTGTTTGTGATTTAATGAAGAGAAAAATATAAAGTCATAAACGTTTGGAACGAGGGGGTGTAAATGATAACAGCATTTTCATTTTTGGCTGAACTATCCCGTTAAGATGTGTACTTTTTTTTTTTCCCCCTGCGTTCAGACTTTAATACGATTCCTGAATACAATATATTATACTGATATACACTCCTTTGAAAGGCTTCAACACTTAATGTCTCTGTTGGCAATTGATGGTGTACTAGAAATTGAAGACATGAAATGACATTTAAAATGCGTTTAACATCTGTTAAATGATTTTTTTATGACATTTTGATGAAAGAAAAAATAATAATCACACACATAATACCATTCAAAAGTTTGGGTTTTTTAAAAAGAGAATCTACTTTTAATTGATCAATGTTTACAAATTTCTATTTTAAATAAATGCTGTTCTTTTGACCTCCTGAAATAAAGTACCATGGTTTTCACAAAATATTAAGCAGTACAACTATTTTCAACATTGATAATAAAAAGAAATGGTTATTGAGCACCAAATCAGCATATTAGAATGATATCTGAAGGATCATGTGACTCTGAAGACTGGAGTAATGGCTGCTGAAAATTCAGTTTTGTCATCACAGGAATAATTACATTTTAAAACATTAAAATAGAAATTATTATTTAATTATTATAATGTTTTATAGTTATTTTTAAAAAGTAATATTTCACAGTATTACTATTTTTACTGTACTCTTAATCAAATAAATGCAGCCATGGTGAGCATTAGAGATTTCTTTCAAAAACATAAATCTTACTTACCCCAAACATTTGAAGATCATAGATGCTCATTTATTTAGATAGTAAAAAGTCTTGTTTTTGATTTTATGTTGTGGTTAAGCACATTTAACCAGTATGTTACTGAAGCATAACTTCTCTTCTTTATTTTTAATCACAGTTTGGTTCTACTTTGGTATTGTGGGCTCCTTCATGTTCATCCTGATCCAGCTCATCCTCCTGATCGACTTTGCCCACTCCTGGAATGAGGTGTGGGTGAGGAATGCTGAGGAAGGCAACAGCAAGTGTTGGTTCTCAGGTACGTAGAGAGCAGATACACTGAAAGACACCCTGTTCATCACAATAGGTTTGCAAACAGGTGTGTCCAAATCCGCTCTTTTCAGAGAAAGAAACATGAGACTGTTTTCTATGCCCACAGGTCTGTTGTTCTTCACTGTCTTGCATTACGCACTGGCCTTTGCAGCAGTCGTGCTGTTTTATCTGTACTACACCAAACCCGACAACTGCGCCGAACACAAGTTCTTCATCAGCTTCAACCTTATTCTCTGCGTCATCATATCTGTGGTTTCTATTCTGCCAAAAGTGCAGGTAAAGGGGAAGTGCTAAAGCAGGTTGCAGTGCTTTTTATTCCCATCGCATCTCTGCACCCAATTTCAAAACATTGATAAAAGGCCAAACAACTCCATATTAAGATATTAAGCAGCATTAAGGCCTTGAACGTAAAGCAGCAAACCGGAAATGATCAAACTGCTCTAACTAGCTGTTCCAAATATGCGATTGCCTCAGCACACACATCCTGACATGAATGCTGATTTATAATAATGTGCATAAGAAAACAGCCTCTCCGTTGTACTGAAGGTCATCTACTGTTTACATTAGCCTCCAGCTTTTGTCCTTGTAAGGAAACTTCTTTGTTTCCTTCTTTGCATACAGAATATCAATGCTGGCTTGCCACAACAGACCAGCTTTCTTTACTGTGCCAGCCATTATAAAAATCTGCAGTTTATATTGGGTTGTTTCTTACAAGGGTAGACAAGGTCTGATCTGTGCTTTATTAAATATGTTTCTTTATTTGTGTATGTGTTTTCAGGATGCCTCACCTCAGTCTGGTCTGCTTCAGTCCTCTATTATAACTCTGTACACTATGTACGTCACCTGGTCAGCCATGACCAACAATCCTAGTAAGTTACACATTTAAAAAAATCTCAGAAAATATTTACTGTCTGTCTTTGGTCTCTCTTTTCATTTTATGAGCTTTCATTTTGTACCTACTCAGGTTGATGCAATATTTGGTGAGTTTTGTGGTGCCATACAAACCAGATGCTCAACTTTTATAGTCTCCTGATGCTTGTTACTGAATAAAGCCAAATCGCATGCTAGAATCCAGATTATAAATGTAACTCACTATCCCCACATTCTGTTATTGTCTATTAAGTATACCTATTAGCAGCCTAGATTAGCTTAAAAATGTAATTAGATGACTATTAAGTGTGATCATAGTCTTTAGTAGTGAAGTATGTGATTTATTTGGTGTAGTAGTTGTAATATATTATGTTTCTGTATGTTCACTTTTAAATTTTCATTTGTCTGGCTCCACACACAGATCGTGAATGTAACCCTAGTTTGCTCAGCCTGGTGTCCAATATCAGCACAACTGAGGCCATGCCTACAAGCTCCCCTGGGATGGTGCAGTGGTGGGATGCTCAAGGCATTGTGGGATTGGTTATCTTCCTCTTCTGCACCTTTTATGCCAGGTACATTAAGCAAAACAAACATTTTGAACATTAATTTTTCTTCTTTCATTGAGCTCTTGTTACTGTCAGTATTTGCTTTTAAAATGCATAAAGAAAATCTCATGTACAGCTTTTAGTGGAAAGCAGCTGTAGTTAACTGGTGTTTTCTATGCTGATTCATTGTACATTTCAATTTGACTTTCACAAGCAGCTGCACAGAGGCATGGGTTGATTGATTGATTAGTGGTGTCAGATGTTGACACCTGTAGGCAGGGTCCAAAATGAATATTTGCCAAGCAGCAACTGTGAGTTCAAATTGGCCTTGGCAAGTAAGAGTCGCTAGTTAAAAGGTAACTTTACCATGTTCAGTGTCATTAAATGTGTTATTTTATTAGTTATAGAAACTGCTTCCTAAAATTTTAAACATTTGTATTCAGTTTGCGTCAGCATTTCTTTAGATTTTCCAGAATCCAAAAGCTTTTAATAAAATAAAAGTTCAAAAGTTTTTGCAGGTAAAAATTTTCTCTCAATTCAGATTTTTATTCCTTTTCATTCATACTTTTGAATGGTACTAATATATACACTTTTTCAAAAGTTTGGGGGTGTGAGATATCGTAACAATGTAAAATAACCTTTTTCTTTATATATATTTTAAAATGTCATTTATTTCTTTGATGGTAAAGCTGAATTTCAGCAGGCATTACTCCGGTCTTCAGTGTCACATGATCCTTCAGAAATTATTCTAATATGCAAATTTTATGCTTAAGACATGTTTATTACTGTTCATGTTGAAAACAGTTGTGCTGCTTAATATTTTTTTGGAAACCAATCATGAATTTTTTTTGAGGTTCTTCGATGGATATAAAGTTTAATAGAACAGCAGTACTGTGTTTGAAATTTTTTTCTTTACTGTCTGTTTTGATCAATTTAATGTGTCTTTCCTAAATAAAAGTATTAACCTTTGACATCCAAATTTCCTCAATTAATTTGCAATCCATTGGCAAGTGTGAGAAAATTATATATTTTGCCTCTCTCCCTTTAAATTCTACCTCCAATCTAGCTCATCATCAATTAAATATGAATCTGAGATAAGTAAACATCATTCTCATGCTAGTGTCCATGTGATGTCTTTTCTCTCTTCAGCATCCGTTCATCCAGTAATGCTCAGGTGAACAGGCTGATGCAGACAGAGGAAGGGAAGGGCACTGTGGGAGGGGAGGAGGTGGGCGAAGACGGACTGCGGCGTGTCGTGGATAATGAAGAGGACGGCGTCACATACAACTATTCCTTTTTCCACTTCCACCTCTTACTGGCCTCTCTCTACATCATGATGACACTCACTAACTGGTACAAGTAAGTGCTCATTCTTCCACTTTTTGATTTTGGATTGAACCACAAAGTTCACTTTTTTTTTAAGGTGAAGTTTTACATTTGAAAATGCTTTCAGCTATCATAGTTTTATAGGAATAATTCACAGAAAAATGAAAATAGTTATAATTTATGCACCATAATATTGTTCCAAACCTGTATGACATTCTTTAATTTTGATTCTTTTGAATTTTGAAGCATGTTCTTGTCATTCTTTCATGCAGTCACAAAGAATACAACAGAACTGCACCATACACTAGCTGAGGTCTAAATATTGTTATGTTTTCTCCCTTTTCCTCACATCTGTCTTCAGACCTGATATAACCACTCAGGCCATGCAGAGCACTATGCCTGCAGTGTGGGTGAAGATCAGCTCCAGCTGGCTGGGTCTGGGGCTCTACCTGTGGACGCTTGTGGCTCCTGTCATTTTCCTCAATCGAGACTTCAACTGAGCTTGAGTGGGTGAGACTCTCTCACCTATTCAACCTGGCCATGTTTGTGCTATGTTAGAAATATTACAATCTCCAAGACTGTAAGCAATTAGAATCTGAAACAGACTATTGGTGACTACTCTCATAGGCCTAGTACAGCGGTGGCGAACTCCGGTCCTGGAGAGCCGCAGCCCTGCAGAGTTCAGCTCTAACCCTAATTAAAACTCACCTGCCTGTAGCTTCCTAATAAGCGTTCAGACCTTGATTAGCTTGTTCAGGTGTGTTTGATTAGGGTTGAAGCAAAACTCTGCAGGGCTGCGGCTCGCCAGGACCGACGTTCGCCACCCCTGGCCTAGTAGGTACACATATAAAAATACATGGACAACAACAAAAGTATATGATGCCATGACAAGTATTTAAAAAATGACACTTAAAGGGTTAGTTCACCCAAAAATGAAAATTCTGTCATTAATTACTCACCCTCGTGTTGTTCGAAACCCGTAAGACCTTCGTTCATCTTTGGAACACAATTTAAGATATTTTTGATGAAATATGAGGGCTCTCTGACCCTCCTATAGACAGCAAGGTAACTACCACGTCCAAGGTCCAGAAAAGTACCAAGATGATCGACAAAGTAGTCCGTGTGACATCAGGGGTTCAACTGTAAAGTTACGAAGCTACGAGAATACTTTTTTGCACAAAGAAAACAAAAATAACGACTTTATTCCACATTTTCATCTCTACTGCGTCACTTTGGACGCGCGTTCACGGCAGTATCATGACGCAAGCGTGTGGCGGCGCTGATAATAATGACGGCGCTGCCACACGCTCGTGTCATGATACTGTGCAGAAAGTCGCCATTCACCATTAGCACACCTGAAGCACACTTATTTTTTAGAGTAATATAGCTGTGCATAAATGTCAGTTGTTGTATGTAATGCTCGAGTGAACACCAAATTCCGTTTTGCTTTGATTCCTCTGTCCTTTTATCTCATACTCACGTCCTTAAGAGCTTAAGATTAAAAGAGCTAAAATGCAAGTAAAGGTAAGGTGGATGGACAATTAAGGAAATGAGAAGCATCCTTTTTGCTTAATGAATGATTCACTGCTGTCTCATTTCTTACACTACCGTTCAAATGTTTGGCATCTGTAAGTTTTCAAAATGAAAGAAATCTCTTCTGCTTACTAAAGCTGCATTTATTTGGTCAAAAATACAGTGCAACCATAATATTGTGTAAAATGATTACAATTTAAAATAAATGTTCTCTGTTTTATTATATAGTAAAATATCCTTTATTTAGTGACAGCAAAGCTGAATTTTCTGAATCCTTTACTCCAGTTTTCAGTGTCACATGATCCTTCAGAAATCATTCTAATATGCTAATTTTGTGCTCAATAAATATTTATTATTAGCAATAGTGAAAACAGTGGTGTTGCTCAATATTTTGGAAAACCATTTATTAAGAATTTATTTGAAATAGATATTTTGTGAAAGTCTTTTCAATTGAATGCATCCTTGCTTAATGAACGTGTTATTTTATGTAAAAAAAAAAGAAATCTTACTGACCCCAAACTTTTGAACAGTGGTGTACTTTAAGAATAGGAGTTGCTGTGTCTCCACACATGAAGGAGAAATGAATGAAATGAGTTATATAAACTAGTCACTTCTACCGTGTTGTCGATATCCTGAATAATTCACATCTCAAGGGTTATTTCGCTGTCATTTCAAACTCAGTATGGCTGTTAAATATATTTTATAAAGTCTATATTGCTAGTTTATCTTGTTTAGCACTAGTCGTTGGTTTAACAGGTGCAAGCTACTCAAACCTAAGGCCACACATTTCCAGTGCAAATACACACAATAACTATCCTACAGACCATCAACATAGTGGTCCTAGCCACGAATTCAAATATGCATGATACTGCTGCTAGAAACATACTCTACCTGAAGAAGAAACCTTTTTTTACAGTGATAGCATTTCAACTTCAGGGTTCAATCCATTGTACGATAGACACTCTATAATATTGATTTAGCACTTTTTTCTCAAGCAATGGGGAGAGAGGGTCGTGGGCAGCCCATGTGCGCTGAGGGGCTTAAACAGGGGGCCTTTTCACTCCATGTCCTCTGTAGAGCCCCTGAAACTTGTGCATCAAGCAGATAAGCCTAAACCGACACACCCCCCGTACAGCTCACTACACCACACTTTGGGGTCTACCGCACTGCCATGAACAACAGACTGTGCTGTAATATTAATCGCTGATCCAAATTAATATATTATGGTGCTGTCAATCCATCGGAGGCACATGTTAGCATATCTAGCTTGTTGTTTGGCAGAATAGTTTGGTGTGGCAATAGATAATTTAGTGTGAAATGATACATTTAGATAGCACTTAGATATAAATTAACAGTTCAGGGCTGGTTAATATGTTAAAGTTGATATATTTAATCGGTAAATGTTTCTGAAAACTGAATGTTAATCCTTCCGCCTGTGACACTTTGTATACTTTTAGTGTTTGTTTTTTTTTAATTACTTATTTGTTATTAATTTGTGAGCACATGCTGGAGTAAAATTACATAAGAAAATGTTCTAAAAGTGACCATACGTTTAGTTTACATTTGTGTAAAATTGCTAAAAAGCTGTTATGAAAGCAAAATATGAAGTTAGGCATTTCGTAAGGTGAATTTTATAACTCTAAGTATTGAAGGTGTGTCTGCCTCAAGTCATTTGGTATTGCTTGTGCTAAGCTTGTGACACTGGAAGAAACTGATTGTGAAGTATGTACTGTGTGTGTATATATGTACAGTATAAAGTATGGTAATAGTTTGGCACAAGCATGACGGTTCATCTGTAGTCTATTATTAGGAGCAACATGCAAGATTAGTATTTCTTCATGTGCCTTTCTATGGTAACTTCTTATCAAAAGCGACCAGGTTTATTTCAGACCTATGAAAAAGTGCCTTTGCTGTTTTATAACTTTTCATTTTTCATACCATGGACAATATTGCTCTTTTAGTTGTTTCTGTAGAAGAAGTTTTTCAGTGATCTGGTGTTGTTCAATATGAGCTAATGCTGTATATATTTCAATAAACTCATGTAAACTGTTGGTTAGTCTTTACAAATCAACTGTATTGATCTGACTGCCAAACAAAATTAAAAGTCTTGCACATTATTATTGGATGTAGAATTTATAACAGAGTTTGTTTAGGGCTACACAACAATAACAATATTTCTGCAGGCCTCACCAAAGAAGAAAAAAAAAAAAATATATATATATATATATATATAAATGTATAAAAATATATAAATAATATATATATATATACATACACACACACACACACACAATGTAAATTATAAATTTTTATTTTAATATTATTGTTTATTTTTCTTTCATTTTAAATAATGTTGAGCTGCTACAACACAATGAGAAGGCTGTATTTTTATTTGCTGTCTGCCCACCAGGTGGAACTGATGTTCTGTTGATTTTTATCTTCCGTGTCATGGATGATATTAATTTCTCAATACTGATGGTCATCACTGGCCAAACAATGTAGCCTTTAATTACTTGATACTACTCCAGTTATGCTACTTTTTTTATAGATTAAAAAAAAATCACATCAGTGATATTGTTTTTACCTCCACCAATGCGTCATTTAAGCACTGTTGTTCCTCTTTCTCCATCTATGTTTATGCTTTTTTTGTTTACCCATTTTAGTCTCAGTGCCCTAAACTGGCCTCACTGACCATAAAACCCTCTTCTAGTTACAAGCAATTATCACGCTCACAATAGTGTAGCCTTTGGCAGCATTTGCAGCAAAAACATTACTTTACTATAGCCAGAGAAAACTAAGAAAAGCAGGCCTAGAGAGTAGCGATTCCAAAAGGGAGCGTGTTTTGTGAATTCCTCAGTGCTGGAGATGTTTTGGGTGGCTTGCGGATAAGGAAGGTATTGAACGTTAAGTGCTTTTGGGTCCTGCAAATCAGGCCCCTCTTCTCAAATGTGTGGTTTATCAGTTGGCAGCTTGACTAACCATAGATAATGCTTGCTTATACAAGAGTGTTTTGCTAATAGTGTTGATATGTTTCTGCACACTTGTGTAACGCTAGCGCAGCTGAAGGACGGCTGAGGTCTGTATCTGTAGGTCAGGGTTCCATGATTCTTGTGATTTTCCTTTAGATCCAGGTGGGTGTGTTACAGACCCATGAGATGACATCAAGAGCTCAGCTGTGATTTATTTACCCTGTGTAGGCAGGCTATGGGGTATTTCATGTGGTTTTATGAGAGCATTGAAGTTTAAATATTGAATGGCATACTATGCAACTTTTATGAAAGTTACCAGTTTATATTTAATGCAATTTCTAGGATTGGCCTTGCTCTTAACCCAGGATTTAGTACATTAACTAAGGGTCTGTAAGATTTTCTTGCATCAACCTTTCTTACAACTTCGAACATAAAAGAGAGATGTTCCTAGTCTTATTTTGTATGATTTATTATTCGCGAAGACAAAACTGCATGAACAGTGGTGAAATTACTTTGCTTTTCTGCTAGGAAAGTTGGGGCAGGGAAAATAATGTTGAAGAGAGGGGAGAAAAATCTATTTAGACAATTTTAGGCCCATAGGTTTTTAACCAGGGGGTCTGCAGAGAATATACAGTAGGCTATGTTTATAAAAACACATT